AAAAGAAAATGTTAAGCGAAAATTATCATTTCTTAGCAAAGGTTTAGGGTTTTCCAAATTTCAAGCGTTTGCTTCCCCCTCCCTCTTTTTCAGACATTTCAAATAAACTAAAAATAACATCTCACTGCAATATTGAATAGCAATCACTTGATATATAAAATTTTAACTACATCCCAGTTATTTTATTTTTTCTTTTTCTATTTCAAGGCCCCAGTTGTTTTAATTCACACACACACACAAAAAAATGGCCACCTACCAATATGTTTGTCACAAGTTAGAAATACTACATTTAAGAATTAACATGAGGGCTTTGAGTTTCCTCCAGTTTAGGTATTTATACCTTTGTGTTTATTTTGTTTTAAGATGTTACTGTAGCATCGATATTTGTGTAACCCATTATGTATCTTAAAATGTAATCATTTAAAACACTAAGAATTATGTTTATGGTAGAGCTTTGGGAATTTTAAAAGGCAAACAAATGCTCTTAGATGTGTTTATCTGCTTCATTTCTAGAGAACTTGAAACTGAGTGAAACTGAGAACTTTGTAATTCAGTTGCATCTTGAATTAAAAAACCCTTTTGCACTAGCAGGAGCCTACAACATGACACCTTTTCTAATCCGCTTTCTGTTTTATATTACTATCAGAAACAAATATCAGCTATTAAAATCCCCTTCTAAGGGCAGGAAAAGTACTTTTAATACACTTGATCTTTTTCTATTCAGGTTCTATATTCAGATTGATAATTTATTTCCAGGTGAACATGCATGGCATTTATGTATCCATATGCTTGCCTGAATTGCATTTAGGAAATTACTAATTCATGATAAATTCTAAAAGAAACGGTAACAATATAAGAAAAGGCATTCAGGAATCATACCAGCTCATCCTTTTACTCAATTTCATATTAATGTACTTAACATTTTATTTAACTTCTTATAATTAGACTAGCATCAGTTAGCATTCCTTTAAAAGAACGTATTCTGAAACACTTAAAGGTGACTACGTGTTTATATTCTCTTTTTCATTTTTAGGATAGGGATTTAATTTTTTGTCTTTAATGTTTGTCACAAGTTAGAAATATTACATTTAAGAAGGCATACAAAATTTATGGTAGTTACCTCCTGTTTTCAAGATTCAGTATCTTACACTGTTATATTTTGAAAGTTATAAAATATATAAATAGTGATTATGAAGCATTACATTTGAAATGATTTCCATTCAACAAATATAAATAGTTATCTTACTAGATTTTATTCATTTAATAGCCACTTTTTGTTTTAATTAATTTAATTAATTTCCTAGAACACTGGAAAATACTAATAAAGTTAATATTGAGTTAGGGTATATTATCCTCATATTTCTGAGATTTACTTGAGATTAGTTTATTTAAATATAAATTAATATTCTAGTTTTAATTGGTTTAGCTAGAGTAACATACTAACGATTAAATCTCCTTTTCAGGACCAGCAGGTAGCATAGTGGTTAAGGCACTGTATTCCGACATGGTTGATTGTAGTTTGAGTGTTGGACCCCATGGCTTGATATTCAAGTGGGTCACGTGTTTGTGCATGCCCAAAATCCTGAGAGGAGAATGGAGGAAAAGCCGTTGCATTGTAGTCACACCTCTAAGGGATGATTTCTCACTTTCTGTCTCTCTGTGTCTCTACAGCAAGTGCATGCACCCTATAGCAAAAATCTCTCCAAAAGAAAAGCTCCTTTTCAAGCTTTTAATATTTTATTTATTCTGCAATAGTATTTTAAGTACCTTATTATGTGCCTTTTTTTTACTGTGTAAATTCCTTTTTTTTTTTTCATATTAGTTCTTTACAACTACAGCAATAACATAATTCCAAGTACTGTACTTTTTAGTATGGGAAGATCACAGTCTACAGACTCATTTGCTTAGACAAGATTAACTTCATTCAAAACTTACTATTTGGGACCAGCAGATGGTATAATGGTTACGTTGCTGGACTCCCACATAGTTGACCACAGTTTGAGTCCTGAACCTGTTGGCTTAAAATTCATGCCAGGTGCATGTGCATGCATGCCCAAAATACCAAGAGGAGATTGGAGGAGAAGGGATTCTGGTGTGGCCTTCCCCCAGGGGATGATTTCTTGCTTTCTGTCTCTGTTTCTCTCTGTGTCTCTGGTGAGCACATGTGCTCTATAGCAAAAATCTCTCTTTAAAAAATAGAAAAAAAACTTACTGTTAATAAGTTCACATAAATACAGAAATTGATACAATTAAACAAAATTGGATTTTATTATTTAAAATTCTTAGATTGTAACTTCTTCTGTGGGGTATAATTATGTTCCATAATTTTACCAGTAGTTATGATTCAATTTAATTACATCAGTTATAAACCCTTTATATCCTTTAAGAAAATGTTAAGGGAACCAGCAGTTAGTGTAATGGCTATGTCGCTGGACTCCCACGTAGTCCACCCTGGTTCACATCCCGGACCCGGTGGCTTAGAACTCACGCCAGGTGCGTGTGCGTGCGTGCTCAAGATCCCGAGAGAATAGAGGAGAAGGGATTGCGGCGTGACCATCCCCCTTGGGGAGTGATTTCTCACTTTCTGTCTCTATGTCTCTCTCTGTCTGTCTGGTGAGCACACACGCCCTATAGCAAAAACCTCTCCAAAAAAAAAAAAAAGAAAGAAAGAAAGAAAAAGAAAATGTTAAGCGAAAATTATCATTTCTTAGCAAAGGTTTAGGGTTTTCCAAATTTCAAGCGTTTGCTTCCCCCTCCCTCTTTTTCAGACATTTCAAATAAACTAAAAATAACATCTCACTGCAATATTGAATAGCAATCACTTGATATATAAAATTTTAACTACATCCCAGTTATTTTATTTTTTCTTTTTCTATTTCAAGGCCCCAGTTGTTTTAATTCACACACACACACAAAAAAATGGCCACCTACCAATATGTTTGTCACAAGTTAGAAATACTACATTTAAGAATTAACATGAGGGCTTTGAGTTTCCTCCAGTTTAGGTATTTATACCTTTGTGTTTATTTTGTTTTAAGATGTTACTGTAGCATCGATATTTGTGTAACCCATTATGTATCTTAAAATGTAATCATTTAAAACACTAAGAATTATGTTTATGGTAGAGCTTTGGGAATTTTAAAAGGCAAACAAATGCTCTTAGATGTGTTTATCTGCTTCATTTCTAGAGAACTTGAAACTGAGTGAAACTGAGAACTTTGTAATTCAGTTGCATCTTGAATTAAAAAACCCTTTTGCACTAGCAGGAGCCTACAACATGACACCTTTTCTAATCCGCTTTAAGTATAATATTTGTCAAGAATTTTACTTTGAATAGTTGATTTTCCATAGCCTTATGCTTCTCATACACCTTTGGCTAAAGGTCTGTTATACCATATAGCTGAATCATGAAGGGCCAGTACTGTCCAACTATACCATGATACACCGCTCAGTTTCAGTTTTCAGATACCCTCATAGCAAAATTCACTCTGCAGTTTCCTGTATAGTGGCTTTGCCGTGTATGGTTCAGAAATACCCCAAGTTTAATTCCTTGAGGACTGCTAAAATTCATCCTCAAGACTCTGTAAGAACCAAATGCTGCTTTACAATTCTGTATCAAGCATTAACATTTGGTTCAAAATATTATCATAGTCGTATTGATCTAGTTACTGGTCCTAACCAGCTATCCAAGTAATCTTACTATGATCTGGGTATCACCAGGGAGCATACTGCTTACCCTTGAAGAAAAGTAAGTTTACATTCTTGTCATCTCTAGGTTCTTTGTCTAAATCCTACTTCCTTAACTGTCACCAAGTCTACACATCATTCATCCTTCACATTTCCTTCCCTAAAGGGGGAAGTGTACTACTGAACCAACAAAATGTCTGGTTTACTATTTGAATGAATTAACACTACAAATAAAATTAAATATCCTTTTTATGAAACACTTTTTCCCATGCCCTAACTAATAGAGATGTGGATCACTCTTCTATTAAAAATAATTTATTTCCGCTTAATCGGTTGCTGTAATGTGAAAACAGGAATGTTTATTTTTCCAAGTAGATAAAAGGTGCATAAAAATATCTACAAATATTTCATCTCTGTGTGGCATATACTTTTATTGCTCCATTTTCTGGAAGGAGTCTATTTTTAAAGTTAAAAAAAGAGAGGGAACAGCAAAGTTGCTAACTTTGTAGTGAAAAAAAAAATAACCTGTGTTCTTGACAGGTTGCACTTTTATATTTTTCACACTGCGTTAGCTAAGTTAAGGAGAACTTGGGTTTTACTCTCATTCACGCATGATGTATGTTTCAGAACTTAATAGCTGACATTTCAAAGAACTTCTTACATTACCTGTTTAACATACTGATGTGCGACTGGAACATATTATAACAGTATTACTCATTATTTGCCACTTTGGGCTAAATTTACTATACTGGTCTTAGATATAAAAGGTCACATTTGAAATTACTAAATTAGAATTCATAAGGAAGGGGAGAGAAGGCCTTAAATATAAAAGACATACAGCAGTTGATTAAGCAATAATTTTCAGTTTACTAGATGAAACAGATTTGTAACAAAATCTGCACGCGTGCGAAATAAACCACCCACAGCGAGTAATGAGGGAAGTAGGCAAAAAGGATAAAAAGCATACATTGGGGGTGGGGGGGAGATGCTCTTGAACTAGAAAAGTAAACCATTATTATAATGGACTTTACTAAGAACTGCTGAATATCTCCCATCGCATTTACTGGAAGTCAACGAGAACATCTAGTACTTTGTGTTCATGGCAGCCATCAGATGAGAACATCCTAATGCAAAACCAAAAGAAGAAAAGAAAAAAAGGAAACCAGTAAAAAACCCAACCTTCCCAAACCGTAGAGTAACTCCAGAGTTCAAATTCAAGAGAGAAGTGGCAATTCAAAGAGGTGACGGTGATGATACTCCTGTGAATGGGTTTTCTGTTTCTTTCCTCTTGGGGGATGGATGAAGAAGGCCCCCAAAGTATGGGAAGCTTCATGAATGTGTGTGTCATCTTACTCAGAGACCATGCTAATCGTCTCTGTATTGTTCCAGTTTTGGTGTATGTGCTGCCGAAGCGAGCATCTTGTGTGCCTTTTTACTTCACTTTTAGAAAGTAACTCTGTCAAGGGAGCCACATGCAAGATAGAAAATTAAGTTAAATTAAAAAAAAAATTTTAGAGAGATTTTTTGCTATTAAGGCGTGTGCACTCGCTGAAGAGACAGAGACAGAAAGACAGAAAGCAAGAAATCACTCCCCAGGGGGGATGGCCACTCAGTAATCCTTTTTTTTCCTCCATTCTTTTCTTGGGATTTTGGGCACATACATACACGTGCCCGGCCATGAGTTTTAAGCTGCCGGATCCAGGACTCAAATCACAGTCGAGTACATGGGAGTTCAGTGACATAACCATTATGCCATCTGCTGGTCCCAAAAATTAAATTGAGTTTTAAAAGCATTCCTGTGTTACTGTTTACTCCTTCCACCTTATTCAAAATAAAAACTATTCCATTTTATTTATTTTATAGAGTGTTAAGTTTTTAGGGTCAGATTGAATATATAAAATGGATGGTATTTATGTTCCCATATATTTCCCTATGTTTTGTCATCAGGTTTGCCACCCAGTCAAGTCAGATGTTTGCAAAAATAAATCAAACACTATTTCTCCCACCCTGAACTTAACAAGGAATTAATCATTTATAAGAAGAATTTAAAATTTGATATGATTACTTTCAACCCTATTTGGCATTTTCTTGTTCAAATATGAATTCTATTTTAAAAATTATATTTAAATATTTCGTATAGATTATTAATAGTTCAAATGGATACTAATTCATAATGTCATTGAGAGCAGCTATGAATGAGTATTATTACTAGAGTTTATTTACAGTATAAAAAAAAATCCTCTGGGGACTGCAGATGACATAATGGTTACATTGCTGGTCTCCCATGTAGTCAACCTCAGTTCGAGTTCCAGACCTGGTGGATTAAAACACACTGGGCGCATATGCGTGCATGCGTGCCCAAAATCCCAAGAGGAGAATGGAGGAGAAGGGATTGTGGCATGACCATCTCCCCAGTGGGTGATTTCTCGTTTCTGTCTCTCCATCTTGCTCTATCTCTCTTGGTGAGCACGCGCCCTATACCAAAAATCTCTCTCTCAAAAAAAAAAAAAAAATCTCTGATGTTGCAGGGGCTAAAAAAGAGGGAAAATTGGGAGTGGGATGAGGTGGGGAATATGAGACGATTTGACCTGCTAAAAAGTTATAATTTATTATAAAGCTGATTAAGAAATTAGAAGGAGAAAAATAGCATACATAAATCTGACATAGACAAAAATAGGACTTGCATATTTGTGGTATGCCTCTGGATTAGGCATTAAGTTGAATTTGACTACTAAATGATACCTAGTAGCCACATAAGGAAGTGGCATCTAGTATCCCTAGTAATCCTTCTTCACAAAGAAATTCAATATAGATTACAGTTATGAGTACCAAGATCATTCTTTGGTTTTGCCAGTTTTTGCTTTCATTTATATTGGTGTGTAACCTGGACACCAGCAGCAACAGGATTCTTTTTCAAATCTAGTGCTTCACTTTTTTAAACCTTTCTTTTGAATTTCCTCTGTTACCATTGAGCAAAATACCCTGATATTAAGTTGTATAAAAGTTCAAAGTAAAGAACTTGTTTTTATGAAAAAGAGGTAATTTCAGTAAATGTCAATGAACACTAGATACTACATTTCAAACAAAATCTTAACAAATTTAAGAAAAATAGAATTTTTGAAAGACTACGGATTTGTGACTAATTTTAACGTATAGGTGAATCAGTTAATATTGGTAAACTAGGTTAATTTGCAATCTTGTTGAAAGATTGTTAGTCATAATACTTTTTACTTTGCTTTATTCTCCAGTGTATATTTTGATTTATGATAAATCTAAGGTTTATCTGTCATGAATGCTATGCTTAGGCTTATGAGATCATTTTATTTTATGCCCTTGTTGCTAAAAGAGCTGTTTAATTACTAGGTAGGATTCTTTCAAATCAAAGTTTAAAGTATATCAAGGTAATTCTTTTTTATATAATTTCATTATGATGTTTTATTAATTTTACCAACCTCTTTGTAATAGTCCCCTAAGTGAAACATATTTTTACTCACAAGGTAGTTTATATAAATACTGTAAGTATTTCAGTGTTATGAGTTGAGGTTTTTAAATGAATATGTATTTTATACACATACATCGTATTCAAAATTATTAAAGCATTAATTATATGTGTACTTTTTAAAAGGCTTACAAGTAAATAAAACTTACATTGGTTTACCAACCTTTTGAGTGCTTAGGAAAAAAGAGATTGCCGTTTAATCCTTTCTAAACATATTTGTACAAGAGGAGGAAAGATATTTTGTTCCTGTAATTATTTTACTTTCTATAAACTCCATTTCATATGCTGACTCTAACAAGTTAGATCATTAAGCAGATCTCTTAGATTAAAAAAGTCTAAGGTGTATGACTAGAGAAATAATAGCTATGTGATTGGACAAATTTGGAATGAGTTTTGGAAAACTTTTTTTTTTAGATCAGTTTTCCTGAACTTTATTTACTGGCTGATTTTTGTCCTGCCAAATCTAAGGCTGGAGTTCTCCCTGAAGTAGGGGCAGAGGAGTTCTCACAGGGGGCTGCCTCTCCCCATATTGTAAGAATCCAAAGCAAGAAGTACTAAACTCCCAGCTGATCACTCCAAAGCATTTATTAGGGGAATTTACAGAGTGGGCTGCAGTGTGTCCTTGCAACAGGGAGTGAAAGACATTTTGCCTAGCTAGGAATGTCCCCAGCATAGGGGTCAGGGTACGGAGTTTACATGAGAACTTAAGGAATTTGTCCCAGGACCAGGGCCAATTTCTTTCAGTGTTTTGGGCAACAATCTAAACACCTTTATCAGTACCTGGGAATGTTCAAGGCCTGCTACGGGCTTAAGCCTGAAGGAGAAAAGTAGGTGGTGGAATATTGGGGGTCCCTACATTAGTTCATAAATACATCAGAGTACATCATCAGTGTATGGACTTGCCTAATTCTGTACCTTAAAAGAGATCAAGGTTATATGATTAAAATATTTATTTGAATGATTTTTTTAGTATATGTGCACCAGTAAATATGTTTGCATAATTTTTGTCAAATTGGGACAGTAATTCTTTTTTTTTTTTTTTTTTTACTAATTCTTAAACCTAAATTGTTAACTTAATTTTAAATTTGCTTTTCCATAACTCCCTCCAAATTATATCTTGTTTTTTAAACCAACCTAAAAGATAATTAGCTACAACTATTTTAAAATTTTTATAGTGACTTTATCAAGATAAAATTCATAAACTGTATAATTCATCCATTTAAAATGTACAATTCAGCAATTGCTTAAGCCATATACAGTTATGTAGTCAGCACCATAATCAATTTTAAAATACTTTCTAAAAGAATTATTTATTTAGTTTCACTTATTATTACTTAATTCTCTATAGGGCATATGTGCTCACCAAAGAGAGAGAGAGAGAGAAAGTGAGAAAGCAAGACACCAGGTCCAGGACTCAAACTATGGTTGGCCATGTGTGAGTCCAGTGCCTTAACCACCATGCTGTCTGCTGCCCCCTTTAGAATACTTTTTATCATCACCCTCAAAAGAAGCCTTGTACCCATTCACAGTCACTTCTTATTTCACCACAAAACTCTTTCCTGGGACTTCTGAGTTGATAAAATTTAGAGATTTTGGACATTGAGTTGGTGCTGAAATGGATTGGAACTTCTGGGGATACTGGGATGGGTGAATTTATTTCATACATGGGTTGGATGTGAATCCTGGGGGACCAGAGGGCAGACTGTAGTAAGCTGCACGATGGTCCCCTAAGATGTCTGCATGCTGCTCCCTGAAACATGTAAATGTTATTATACTTTACATGGCAATGATTTTGCAGATATGATTAACTTAAGGATCTTGAAATGGGGAGATTATCTGGATTACTTTAGTAGGCCCTAAAATGTAGTCACAGATGTCCTTATAAGGGGGGGGGGCAGAGAGATTTTACATAAGAGAAAATGGTCATGTGACAGCAGAAGAGTAAGAGAGAAAAGATGCTACACCACTGACTTTGAAAATGGAGGAAGGAGCTATGTACCAAGGATTCAGGTACAGCTCTAGATACTGAAAATAGACCTTTTTCTTCTTCCTATACTTGTGGTCACATTTAAGGCTTGCCCACATCTCCTTGTCTTTAGGATTTTAAGTTTAGATCCTTAATAACATTTGCAAAGGTTTTGTGTCACGAGGTAACTGATGTGGTTTCAGTGTGTTTTGTCCCTACCAACATTCATTTCAGGCTTGGGCCCCAATGTGATAGTGTTTGGAGGTGGATCATTAGGGATTAATGTTGCGCTTGCAGGAGCGTGTTGAGTCTCATGGTTAGTTACCACAAGAGTGAGTTGTTAGAGAATCAAGCCTGGCACACTTTCCCATGACTGGCATATATGCTCCTCTTCCACACATGCCCTTTCCCTTCTACTTCTCTTTCATAACATGGCACTTCATGAGGCCCTCACCAGAAGTTTGAGCCATAACAGACCTCTTCTCTTTATAAATCACTAAACCTCAGCTATTCTGTTATAACAACAGAAAATGGAGATGGTAACATTCCCCAGGTTCCAGGGATCAGGATATGGTATCTTGAGGGACCATTATTCAGCCCACTGCAGAGCCTAAGGACTGATCTTTAACAGTAAGGAACTGAGAAAAAGCCCTGGAATCAACAGAGGGGACTGAGAAGAGACAGTCGTGCAGTAGGAAGGAAAACCAAGAGAATCTATTACCCTGAAAGCTAAGTGAGGAAAGCATTACAAAAGGAGAATGTTCCTCTGGTTCACATTCTACCAAAGCTCAAGGAAGATGAGAACTGGTAATTTACTACTGTATATTTAGCAACAGAGTGATTATTGGTGATCTTGATAAAAGCTGTTGAGGTTCATAAACTCCTTAAGTACATATGTACCTCCCTAATACTCCAGATAATGACAAAATACACGCTACTGCATGAAGTAATGAT